AAGAAAGAAATGGTGTCTAAGAATTTAAAATGGCCAAGAAAGCCACTAGGGGTCATTCTGAGCTTTTGATTGGTTATTCATGTCATATATAGAAGTACGTGTATATAGGGAGCGTTTCCAAAAATGGAAAGAGGTGGGCAGGGTGCCACTGTTTGATTTATTACATGAGTAATATCTTAGCAAATAGAAATGATAAGACATTCTTATTTTATATTCTAGCTTGTCAATATCGGTAATTTGAGTTTCTATTTTGTATGAACTATAGATTTAGTATTTTGACTTCACAAACATCTAATTTGAACCAGTGCTGCATTCAGCATACCACGTGACACACAAAAATTGATGTTTATCTGTGTTTTTTTATATTTACTGGAGGTTACTATGTTTTAGAAATGTTAAAATGGATGTTACTTGCTCGTGGAAATTGATGTGTTCTAAAATTGGAACTAGTAGTGAAATGGAATGAATAGTCAGTTGTCTCAGTTCATCTTAGTGCTAAAATGTAGAGGTATCAGTTCTTTACATGAATTCCAAAGGATTAATGCTTAGTAAAGAAATTAACCACCGAATATTCTTTGAAAACTCTGATACATACGAGTTTCTCAATACATTCTTGTAAAAGTAGCCACCTCTGTGTACCTTTTAAGAACTTTTGCAGCAGCAGTAGTTGAGTGATGATGGTAAAAAAATCTAAAAGTGACAATTATTTGTTCATTAAAGATGTTTGGAAAAGAATGAATAGTTTTTGAAGTTTATGTAGACTTGCATCCACATCTAAAATCAGTTTTTGCTGTATCTATTTAGAGAGGTTTTCAAAGCAAAACACAGACAGACAAAGAAAGTTGTGGCCCTTAAGAAAGTTCTCATGGAAAATGAAAAAGAAGGAGTAAGTAAAAAGTTAGTGTTGTTTTGCTTCGTTAAGCCTTTGATGAAACAAAAAGAATATTTATCCACCCCTAAGTAACATAACTCTCATATTTTAGGGTTTCAATTCAATAAGTGTTTATGCTCAATGAAGAAATGAATTAACCGTGTTTTCAAAAATCATGTGTAATAAAATTGTATAGGTTGTTAGTAAACCTGTTGGATTAGAAGATATGTGTGGTATAAAATTAAAGGTAGAAGTTCCTTATACCAAATAATGAGAATTAAGCAGTTGTTTAAGGTTTATTTTGGGATGTTAATATCTATCTAGGGATTAGAAACATTAATATTAATACAATTCAAAGCTTAAATATTAAACCATTAGGATTTGCCTTCTTGTAAAGTTGTATGGTGGATAGATTATCGTGGATTAATTTTATGGAAGGAGTTTTTGATAGTCTGTTGTTTTATTGTTTGTTTATATTTGCATATTTTTAGTTCCCCATTACAGCTCTGAGAGAGATAAAGATCTTGCAGCTTTTGAACCATGAGAATGTAGTAAATCTAATTGAAATCTGTAGGACAAAAGGTGAGTTTGCTCATGTTTTATTTATTATGCCACTTGTAAACATTTATGTTATTGTTTGTTTCAAGATAAATAATGATAGATCTTGTCAAAGAAAAAATATTGTTACACCAAATCCAAATTAGCAAAATATCCTACATAGATTTACTAAAAACAATAACATAGAGAGAAAGAAACAGTAAATTATTTAACAAAAAATTAGTTAATGCCCTATGTTTTGGTAATAAAGTAGATTTAGAGTAATTCCTTGTTTTACTTTGCTGTATTTGTCCATTTTATCTTTGTAGTAATTACGGATTATTCAATACTCAGTTATAGGTTAGTGTTGTAATAACAGTTCTGTTCATGCTGAAAATTATGTTTAAAATCATTTCTTCTGTAAAACATCCCATCTTTCTAAAGCTTTAATTTCTCACCATTATTAGATGAGCATAAAAGGAGTTATTGCTAGTATTAATAGGGTTGTTTAGGAAAGGCAATCTATGGATATAATCATGTATTTATTCATTTTATTAATACGTATGATATCTTTGACTTTTACTGATGCAAGTGTTCTAGATGTAACCACTGTTGAAGGGCTTTTCAGACACTTGAAAAAAAACTACAATATTTTGGCAGTTCAATGTAATCGTTTTTTATATACGTAGATACACAGATATATTCTCATTGTAAAAATAGAAACATTATTCAATACAGTTGATTCATATAAAACATTTTTATTTTCAGCCACTCCTTTCAATCGTTATAAAGCTACTTTTTATCTCGTGTTTGATTTCTGTGAACATGACTTGGCTGGTCTTCTAAGCAATGTCAATGTGAAGTTTTCTCTTGGAGAAATCAAGAAAGTAATGCAGCAGTTGTTAAATGGACTATATTTCATTCATAGTAACAAAATTCTTCATCGGTAAGTATCTGTGTCACATCTTTGTTTATACTGGAGATATAGTTGCTACAAATTTTGAGTAGAATCTGTATTGAATGCTACAAATGACGTAAGATTTAGATAGTGTTGGAAGTATGTTCTGCGTTAAAAATTCTGAGCATGATAGCAAAAATAGTTCCAACAAAGACATAAGACAAAAAACGTTTCCATTAAATATCGTACAATTTTTATAAACATTTAAACTAGAAAACAAAATGTAAAATGTTTTCATTAAAGCTTCATAAAACATTCGTGACGAAATTATTTACAACATTTTTTTTCAGTGATATGAAGGCTGCAAATATTCTTATCACAAAAAATGGAGTCTTGAAACTGGCAGATTTTGGTTTAGCAAGGGCTTTCAGTATCAGCAAAACAAGCCAACCAAATCGCTATACAAATCGTGTTGTAACTCTTTGGTATCGACCTCCTGAGCTGTTGCTTGGTGAAAGAAACTATGGACCCCCTGTTGATATGTGGGGAGCTGGGTGCATTATGGCAGAGATGTGGACACGTAGTCCAATCATGCAGGTGTGTTTGTGTTTCTTGCCCTGCAGTTAATTTTTTTTAGATACTATAAATCTGTAAAAACATGCATTTTTAAAACAGCCAGGATTTATAAATTCTTTTTTTTCAACTATATGAAACAATATTTTATTTAAAATGTTTTGATGATACCTTTGCTTAATATCAAGCTTGCCAGACTGACTGAGTTACAACACAATGAAATCAAAATATTTCTATTTTACTACCATCATTTTTTTTTAATATTTAGAAAGGTTAAAAACAAATTTTTTTATGTCAATCTTAAAACTGTTAATAAAAATAAGTATCATAGTTTTTACAGTACTAGCTTTACACCTAGATACTTTCAAAATTAGTTCTTTAAACTTCAGTTGAGTGTAAAGGTCTTTCACGGGAACTTTTAAATAACAATGATTATTACTTGTGTTCTAATTGTATTGAATAACATGAATTTTTTTATAGTAATGATATCTTATGAACCAAAGGAAAAGCAATGCCTTTCCAACAACGTACATTGCTCAGTGAGTTTCTTTAGAACAAATGTAGGGTTTTCATTAAGTGCTGGATACTTTGGTGTTATATATTCCCTTTCTTTTACTTTTTTTATCCTGGAGTGACACAGTCACCAACATCATTTTAACTGCAACCTTTTTGAGTTTCTCTTTTTCTTTAGAACGTTGCTTTGAAATAATTTAGAAGCCATTTCTAATACTTTCAAGCAAATGAGAAGCAAATAAACTATATAATATTTTTATGTCTGTATATATTCCAGTCATACAGTCATTGGTATTGCATAATGTCCATTCTCTGTGTAATTGTACTGTAACTGATTAAGTCAATAAATTGCAACACATAAATAAAAAATCATTTTCAAATTTACAGACTAGTTTTCCCCACTTCGTAGGCATTATCAAAGTGATGAAGGAAACCATATCATGTTATGTATACAAAGATGTTAAGAAAATTGAAGTATTACACTCCTAGTGCAAATATAACTAAAAGATATAAATATGTATTGTAACATGAAGACAAATTTATTACCTTTTGTGACTTCCATTCATATTGTTGCTTGAAAATAGAACAGAAAATGATGTTTTTGTTAATCTCAATTTTCAATATTTTATGGGGAAGTATGCCCCTGGACCGACCTAGGGAAATTGTGCCTAAAGTCACAATGTCAGGATTTTGGCCCAAGCTCCCTTATGGGTTATCCACCTATTTTAATAGTGTTTTCCAGTTAGTGTTTAAAAGTAATAAATACTGTGAATACTTAAAGCAATGAATCAGAAGACTTAGTGTTTTTAATTATATCTCTGTTGTCGTGTAAAATGTTAGGTGTTTATGATTGAAAGAGTCTGTTGTGCAATATATGGATTTTAAAACTGCTGGCAAAGAAACATAGCTGTGAAGTGCTATGCATGGTATATTACAATGATGAATGTAATAAAGATATGATTAATGCAGGAGGGAAAATGATATTTATAATGAAAAAACTTTCCTTGATGTTATCAAAAGAAAAATATTTTCTTTTCAGAAACATTTCTGTGGTTATCTGTAGAGCATAATTACTGTCTGATCTGATTTCGTATTGTCTTCAACTTTCCTTTTTAGGGAAGCACAGAACAACATCAGTTAACTCTAATAAGCCAGCTTTGTGGATCTATATCACCAGAAACCTGGCCTGGTGTAGAAAAGCTTGAGTTCTATAATAAATTAGACCTTCCTAAAGGTCAGAAGAGGAAGGTAAAAGAGAGGCTCAGGGTAAGTATAGTGATAGTCTAGTAATATGAAAAGATGTATGGTTATTCAAGATGTTCTTTTATAATTGTTCCACAAGCTATAATGCTTTTCAATTGAGATTTAATATGCCATCTGTTTTTTTTGTCACTTAATATGGAATTATAATCTTTTATAGAAATGAGCTTTAAACATCTTAGTATAGTGAATTTTATATTCTAAAATACGATTAAAATGTCTTTTGCTATGAAAAATTATTTTTGAGTACTTTAACTTTTATTCAGGCCTATGTCAAGGATCCTTATGCCCTAGATCTGTTGGACAAGCTTCTAACATTAGATCCAAATAAAAGAATTGACAGTGACAATGCTTTGAACCATGACTTCTTCTGGACAGATCCGATGCCATGTGAGTTGGCCAAGATGTTATCTCAACACACTCAGTCCATGTTTGAATATCTAGCCCCACCGAGGAGAAGAGTTGTACAACAGCCTCATGCTGGTCAGCCTGGTCATCAGAAGGGTATGCAGCCTTCAGCAGCTGATGGACAGTACCATGACAGAGTCTTTTGACCATTAATTATATAAATGCTAATAATAGGTGTTTTTTTTGTTGTTTTTTTGCTTTGATGAGAATGAAATATTTAATAAATCTGTGTGTAAAGAAGGCAATATACTTGCAGGCTGGGTCGTCTTTTGATACTTTTAATCGTAAGTATCTTTTGCAGTGAGTCATGAAAAGTACTGGAAACTTTCTTTCTTTTTTTCATTTGGTTACATGAGATTTCTGTGTCTTATCTACATTTGGCACCATAAATGGAAAATTGTTTGTCTTCTGTACTTGTTAATTGATATTCTGTACCATAAGTTGTTCAGAGTCACTTTGCCCCTAGAAACTTGAATTTATTTTATGAACTTCGAGTTTTATTAATTTCTGTCTGACAGTTAAGTTTTATTGATAATTTTTTTTTGTACATTATTTATACATAAGAAAGCCTGAAAGTAAAATAGCTTAAGATTTGGGAGCTGTTTTGTCATTTTTTAATTTTCTTGAACTTTGTCATTACAGGACAGAATACTATCAAAACAGAGAAAAAAATAGGTTAGAATAATGCCATTAAGTCTCTTGGTTTCTTGCTTTTTTTGTTGAAAGCAGATTTATGTTGAGTAGCTGTAAAGATAAGAGTATTAGTGATTTCAGGACATTATCATAAGAAGTATGTAATTAATTTGGCAGAGTTTCTCAGATGTAGGGTTTTCAACCAAAACCTTTTGTGAGTATACACTTAGCTTTGCCTTTTACAATCAATATAATTTTTTGATTATTACATACTAGGAGCATTGTCTAGAAATGTAAAACTGTCTTGAAGGACAATATGATTATCTTAAACCATTTGTATTAGAAACAATTTTCACCAAAACCTGACAGAAATTAATTTTGTTGCTTAGTTATCAATTAACCAAATATTGAGTAGGAAAATAAAATGGATTTTGTATTTGTGTGTCTATGTATACATAGCTACAGAATAAAATGTTAATATTGAATTTCATTGCAATTCAGTCTTGTAACTTACTAAATTTGAATAGACTGTATATTTAAAATGTGAAAATGCAGTACCATTTTTGTGTTTTGATGTTGTTTCAGCATCAAGACTATTTATAAATATGATCAAAGTTTCCTTAAAAAACAGTTCTAGGAAAAATGTTAAAATAATGTATACAGTAACACTGAACTAACATCAATGTAGTTTTTTTTTAAAACTTGAAGTAAAAAGTAATACTGTATTTTATGTATTTAAAAAATTTTGTAACTTCACCTTTTTTGGGGTATTTTATTTCCCCACAGAATATCTAGTCATTTTTCTCTAAATGGCATGTGAAGTAAAAAAATTGGTTTGGTGTCCCAAAAGATGAAGTTTAATTGGAGGCTTTGATATACTTTCCTTGGAATTTTAGCATATCATTGGGTAAAATGTCTACTTTTGCAGTATTGGCTTCTTGGCCACTCTGAATGCAATTGGTAGCTGTTCTTACTTCAGTGAGTTTTCTTCTTAGAGAATGAAGCTACAAAGAGAGGTTCCTAATAATTTCACATAATTTTCCATGTACCTTACTTAGTGTGGTCTTGTGCCTTTAGATGATAAGCTGTAGAGCAGAGGTTGCAAGCTATTGTTACCATTGAGGCTCCCCCAAACCATGAAATTTAGTGTCTTCTGCTGTTGCTTTACATAGGAAAGTATTGTGATATTTCGGATAATGTTTTAACAAAGTAAGGTTGGCAATGTTTATGTTAATGAGATGTAATACATGACATTTCTGTAAAAGTGTTCCTGTCACAAAACTTACTTTCCTGAAATCAAAAGTTGTAGTTTGTGTTTCAGTTATGAATTGTACTTAAATATTGGACTTGTATAAATGGTATATTGCAGGTTTATTAACTTACTCCACCTTCTCTGCAATGTTTCACTGTAATATTTTGCTACATTTGCAACCTCTGCTATAGAGAATAATAGGTATTTTGCATTGACTATTAGAAGTCTAAAACGAAAGTCTGTAAAAGTTATTATTGTACTGAAAGTTCACATGTAAATAATAAAGTAGAATTAAAGGAAGTATAGTGTGTTACCAGTGTTACTTTTAATGGTGAACAGTTATAAGGCAGTATAATTACTGGGATGTTATTATAGCAGACTTTATTTGAACTTTTGTAATATGTTGCTGTGTAACTTCACTTACAAATGGTTTAATGTGAGTTTAAATTGTTTCCACCACTTTGCTCTGTTCTAAGAGAAGAATGTATGTTTAATGTTATTGAGACATTGGGAGTTAAGGGGCCATTTCTGTCTGTCTGGTTTTGTCATCAACAAGTGATAACTTTTTTTTTGACAGTTTTGTATACACACCTTGTGAATGATATTTTGTATTATATAGTTATGTTTAGAATAAATATGTGAAGAAACACTGAATACGTGTTAATTCTTTTTAAGAGTACAGTTTCAATCATGTTTGAAAATATAATATAAAACATTAGGTAGCAAAACCCATATCATGACAGCTAAGTTAACAGTTTTGAGCAATGTCAGTTTTCATTAGTGTAGTTGGTCAATACTAAGAAATGAGAGCTAGTTTAATAATTTCAAGCTACATCAACACTCATAAGTCTAGCTGGTTGATGCTAAGGAAGGAATTACAAGGGAGGCAGAAGTTTCAAGTTATGTCAGCTCTCGTCAGCCTGGTTGGGTCAATGTTAAAGAAGGAATTACAACTAAGTCAACAGATTTGAACAATATCAGCTCTCATTAATGTGGAACCTTATACTTCCAAGAGGGTTATTTTATTGAATATAAATTTTGTTAGGACAACCAACATTAAATTTTTTTTTTCATTGCATTTTATGGAGTTCTTGAGCTACTCCTTTAATGTTGTTTGCTGTTAGTAGGATTCTTATAATTTTATAAGGAAAGACCCTAAAAGGCCTTTACAAGACTGAAAAACAGATAAACCAGGCCAGTTGTTTCTATTCCATGAAATCTAAACTTAGAACACTTGCACTTTGTTTTACCTCCAATTTACACCACAGTGCAAAAGTAGCAATTGTTATAAAATGTTTAGTAGTCATAATTGTGATGGACTTCTTACAAAAATGTTAACATAATGCAGTGTTATGAATACAGTTTTTATTAAGATGAAACAACCATGATAATGCTAATTCTCAAACCAATGATGTGTTGTCATATTTGGAAAACAATTATAGATTTTATTCCATAAGTCAATTTCTTTGAGAGAGAATTTGTTTCAGTTAACTTTGAATCTATGCCAAAAACCAAATCACAACAGCTGAGATTCATATTCTTAGTTAGAAACATTCGGATAACGTTAACCTAGTAGTTAGGGCACTGAACTCGCTGTTTGTGTGGGTTTGATTCCCCAATATCGAGCATGCTCACCCTTTCAGCCGTGAGAACATTATAATGTGATAGTCAATCCAATTTTGTTGGTAAAAGAGTTGATGGTGTTGACTAATTGCCTTCCCTCTAGTTTATCACAGCTATATTAGGGATGGCTAGTGCAGGTAGCCTACGAGAAGCTTTATGCGAAGTTCAAAACAAATAAAACATAACTATATATGTCTAGGGGAGAGACATACAATTTAATTTGTTTGAACTAAAGGGTGGTTGCACTATTCTGTTAAGATGATATCAGTATGCCAGAATTTTAACTACTGTTTTGGGGAAATAAATGTGGGGTCCAATTACTTCTTATGAAGGGGTACCTATGTTTTGTAGATATGCCACTGTGTTATGAATTTTAGTAAAAACCAACCAAGTTTCCTTACAATCGAGGTTAAATCATGAAACCCCAGATAAGATTGTGGAACTGCAGGTCCATTATTCGTGTCTCCATTAACAAAAAATGGTTGTGTTAGAAGGGTAATAGTCAAGTCTCGCTATTTGGTCAGACAGGAGCTGATTGTGGATGCTTTTGACTAGTTGCATCCTCTCTGGTAAGTAGCTTCAAAATAGGGAGACTGCTACCACAGATAACCTTTGAGTAGCTTTGTGCGAATATCTGAAAAACAAATGCCAATTATGAACTTTTTCTTAACCCCACCAAGACGGGTCTTCCTATGATCATGGGTCAAAGGCCATGCCATGGCATTTGTAGACTCCATTCAAAATTTTATTTAACTACTATTTTATGAATGCATGTCAATAAGTTTGGTATTAAATTATAGATTATAATCTAAATTTTAGTATTATGCATTAGTTAAGTTCAAAGTAAATATAAAAAAATCTAAATATCAATTTTTGTGTCATGTGGTATGTTGAATGCAGCAGTGGTTCTAATTAGGTGTTTGTGATGTCGAAATACAAATTCTATGGTTTCTTACGAATTAGGTACTCAAGTTACCGATATTGATAAGTTCATAAAAATGAAATAAAATATAAAGGAAAAAAAAAAACTTATTTGCTCATCAAGGATGCCCCTTCCAGCACCCAATTATAACCATCCCTTACTACTCGTGTATTCATACAATATTTTCTTAAACTCAGTTAAATTTTTTCCTCCACCACCTTTGAAGATAGCTCATTCCAAAAGTCAACCACTGTCTAAATTGCAGATGAATTTGAATTTATGGGCCCCTTGTCCTATTTTTTTCACTGTTAAACACACAAAAAATACCAATATATTATCAATACCCTTAATAATCTTAAACACCTCAATCAAATCCTCTCTGTATCTTTAATACAGTTAGCCATCCGAAAAGCCTTAATGCTATCCGCAAACTTCAATATTTTGGTAGTTCTTCAGAGTCAATATTATAAAGTTTAATCACAAACAGCAGAGTAATATCGTCCATCCTTTCAAATAACACTGACACATTTTC